CCGAATACTCCTGGAATGATTAATGGACCTTCAAGCGCGAGTTCTCCTGGACATCCATTGACACCTGCGTCCAGATCTAAAAAGAGACCAATGGGAGAAACCAAGGCTTATCCATCACCACCTGATGTAATTCAACCTCCATCAACCGAAGCAGTTATGTCATCAGCAATCAGTGAAGATATGATTCCCATGACTGACGAAATGATGGGCATTATCGAAACAGATTATGAGACTCAAGAATATGATGAATTCATTGAACTAAACGAAGAGGTAACCGAGGATGACTTTAAGAACTTTGACGCTAGTGAGGTATTGTTACCATTACTATTATTATTATTATTACTATAATAGAGACTCATTTCTTTGGCCTTTACGACCAGTGAAATAGATGTTTTAACGATATAATTTTGATTGCCTTAGCCACCTCCTCCACAGACCTCGACTTCGTTGAATTATTTAACTCCTGCGCCCGAACCTCCGTTGTCATTAGTAACCGAACCTACTTCTACCCAGTCCATGAGTCCTCCAAAGATGAAAAATTATATTAATATAAGTCTTGAATATGAATATGATAGAAATGCTAATCCGTTAATTCCATCAGATTATGTACCTTTGAAATTTTCCAGTCATGTTGACGAAAAAAAATACCTTCAAGGGGGAAAATTTTATCAGCCCCATAGTCGAAAAAAACGAAAGAGAGGAAAACTAGTATATATATATGGTCCAGATAAGCCATCTCCTTTGCCCGATTCTAAAAAGAAGAAGGGTGCGAAGAAACTGATAGTCAAGAAAGAAATGTCTGATGAATCTGAGGAAAGCTCAGATTATAGTAGCGATTCGGGAAGCTCAACATCCTCCGAATCAGATTACGATGGAGATGTCTCCATGGATCCAAATAATAGTAGCACGATTTTAGAATCAAATTATGGTAGCGATGTTGCCGCAAGTGTGAATTCTCGTAACTTGGAATTTATAAATGCTGGACGCTTAACAATGATATTCGATCTACATGATCTCCACGGTAGACGCCAACTTCGTATAGTAAACGAAGCAGAATCAAAAGAAAGCTCAGAAACTGCTCTTAAATGCCTGAGCGAACAAATAGTATTGGGTTCTTATCCATTTGGCGTTGGTACTAATGGAGAAGGGGAGAGTACACATGAGCTGCTCGAATCTCACAGATGCCTTATGGAGAAATTGAGTGGTGGTATGTTTTTGGTTAAAATCTTTTTCTTGGCAGTACTTTTCTTTGTTTTTTTTTTTGAGAAGCCTAAAATGTGAAAATAATATAATTTTTAAAGAACTCCCAACAGCATCAGTGCTTCCGTTTGAGATGGGTAAAGTCATCACCGATTGCAAAGCTACCTTGGATAGCATTTCGAACAAGTTTCCTAAGTCGCAAGGTCACTTGGATTTATCTGTCAATGGGCCGCTCACAGTTCAGAAATATTATAATCTTGATGGTACGTCAAAACAACTTGTTGATCTCTATTGGCAAGTTGTATAGTGTTTCAAGTATGTTAATTCTCAGTTGTATTCGTCATTATAGGGAATCAGGATCGAGAAATGAAGGATGTGGAAGAATCAGGGCTCAATTTTCAAGAATTCTCTACGCCTGATATCATTGCGAGTTCTAATGATCTGTTAATTGAGACATCTCCTGAAATTGTCAAATTTTGGGATATTCATAAGCTAACCCCGTATGATGGCGCAAAAAATGTGAAGTATTTTGTTCTCTATCCGGAATCAGATCATCTACGACACTACGTTGAATATTTTATTGACGAGCTACGCGTTCAGTACGAGGTAACAAAATGCGATGTTTGAGATGTTTCTGAATTAAAGAAAGAGTATGTTCTAAAGTTTCGTGTTCACTTAACAGCATCTTTGTGCACTTGGAACTCATGAACCCATAACGATGGGCAGTTATACTCGTGGTCTCGTGCCGATACCCTTAAAAGGTAATAGTTATTGACCCATTGACGTTTCTGAAGTATATGTTAGGTTTTTACGATTTTGACCAAGAAAAAAATTAATTAATTAAAATGAAAATAAATTCCTACAATTTAGTGCCTTCTCCGAATGAGTCAACCCTAGCACTGCAAATCCACAGTTATGAAAATGCATGTGAGCGACTCGGTGAGCATAAATATTCAAGCGTACCTTTTCTTTTCATTTTGTAAAACTCTAAATTTATTTTAAATTTAGGCAAATTATTGATCAAATTTGTGGAAAAACTTGAAGACAGTTGCCTTGTGATTTATTTAGTCAACCCTTGGGGCCATTTGTCTTCTAATTTTGACATATTTATGTGCTTCTCAAAATTGCATCAGTCTTTGATTAAAAACAATTCTAACTCGAAGTTCATATATCCGCAAGTTATACCGATTGATCATATTCTGAAATTTGGTAAAACCAGTGGAGGATCGTTTAAGAGCAAGTCTTTACTTAAGGAATTAGCATTTACTGTGTATACCAAGTCACTGGTAAGAATCATGACAAAAAAAAACACCTTTTACGTTTTTAAGTTCTCAGACAATAAATTAATTAATGTACATTCTGTTTTTCCTTAGAATTATAGAGCACCTTTTATTTTACCAAGACCTTCAATAGTTTCCGTTAATTTTAGGTGGACAAAGAAATCGTCTTCTGTCAAAGACCTCATTATCTACGATACCG